AATGGCAGCCAAAAAGCAGCAGCGAAGCAGAGGCTGACAATCTCCCTCAGCCAGAGGGCCCTTCAATACCCAGAGCCCCAGTGGCTGCAACTAGCCGTCTGGCACTTGAGAGGGATCTCCTGAGCAAAAGCAGCCTTTTGGCCAAGGTGATCTGTACCATCCAGGCATCCAGTTGTCCCTCCATGACCCAGATCTACGACACTACCTGAAAGGCTTTCGCCAGCTGGTGCACTGCTCGCGGCACTTCGGCTTCCTCAGCATCGATTCCTGTCATCCTGGACTTCCTGCAGGACGGTCTTGACAAGGATCTGGCGCCCAACACACTACGCCATCAGGTGGCCGCAATTTCCACCATATTGGCTCCAGACGAACAGTCCTCACTTGGTTGTCATCCCACCATCCGCAGTTTTCTCAGGAGTGCAACTAAGCTGAGGCCCCCAGTGGTTCACAGATATCCAACCTGCGACCTCAACGAAGTTCTGCGTGCTCTTATCGAACCCCCGTTTAAACCCCTTCAGAGGGCCAGCATTAAACATTTGACATTTAAGACCGCCTTTTTGATTGCCATTACCTCTGTGCGACGTATTTCAGAGCTGGTTGCCCTGTCAGTCCAAGAGGACTTGTGCTTGATTCAACAGGACAGGGTGGTCCTCAGACTGGACCCATCATTCATCCCTAAGATTAACTCCTGGTTCCACCGAGCCCAAGAGATAGTTCTACCGGATTTTTGCCCACACCCTAGACATCCGAGGGAGAAACGCTGGCACATGCTGGATGTCCGCAGGACTCTCTGCAAGTATGTCAAACGCAAAGCTGGTTTTCGTCGTTCTGAATCGTTCTTCGTTTCCTTCCAACTGGCTTCCCAGGACAGGAAAGTATCCTCATCTACAATCGGTGGGTGGCTTAGAGCCTGCATCGCCCTCGCTCATGTTCTACAGTCCAATCCAGTGCCTAACCACATCTACTAGGAGCACTGCCACCACGGCAGCCTGGGCGACTCGGGCACTAATTGAGGAAATGTGCAGGGCGGCCACCTGGACTTTGTTTTCTCCGTTTGTCCGGAATTATAAGTTGGACAAGTTTGCTTCAGCAAAAGGGGCCTTTGGAAGGCGAGTTCTTCAGGGCATTCATACCAGCGGAGAGACCCTAGTGACATTTAGCTTGGGTATGTCCCTTGCTTGGACTCTCCAGAGCAGCGCCCTGGAAAATGACCATTGGCTTACCTGAAGGGTCGTTTTCAGGGCGCTGCGAAGTTTGCAGTTTCAGATGGATTTGTTATTTGTTGGATGTGTATCGGATCCATTGTTGGACTTCTCAGCGTGCAACAGTTCCACGTCTTCATTGAAAAAATCTGAAGATAATCAGCACCAGAGGCGTGACTTAAATTTTCAATTCAGTTCTGGGTAGATTGGCTGTATTTAATCCTTGCTTGGACTCTCCTTCGCAGCACCCTGAAAACAACCCTTCAGGTAAGCCAATGGTCAATCCCTCCTCATCCTGGTGGTTTAGATAGATACAGGGACAAGACGTTCCCTCAAATAACCTGGCCATGATGACAACCAGCACCTTGAATTGGGAGGGGCACACGTGCAAATCTAGACGTACACTAAAGCAAGCAGGTTGCCGCATTTTTGACCAACTGAAACCTCTGGATACTTTCCAAGGGCAGATCCATGTAGAGCACATTGCAGTAGTTGATGGTTAGCCACAAAGTGCAGGAAAAACAGGGGAAGGAGAAAATTCATGCCATCCCCTCAAACTGTCCTCAAAGACCAATATAAGAAGATTCCTTACCTGGAGAGACCAGATCCCCGTGATGCTATAGACATGTAGAAACAGAGCAGGTGCTTCCCCAGTGCCCATACTACAGAGACATTCATACTAGCTTCATCTCACCATTATTGCATAAATACCTCAAGTGCCCAGGACCATTTTATACCACCCTGTTGTTTTCAGATTCCTGCCCTGCTAGGTATTGCCCGATGTTGCCAGATTTGCATAGCAGCATCCATAATTCAGCAAAGACTGGTGCCATAAACTAGACTTTATGAGCACCTTGTCTGCCATATTAGAATATTCTGTAATTTGATAGATACAGTATAGTTGTCCACAGTACTAAACCTTTATGCTCCCTACAACCTTCTCATCTCTGACTCCTTTTAGATTTGTTTGTGTGTGTGTGTTCTAGCTTTTCATTATTTTTTATTTTTTTAAGACTGATGTGTGAGCTATGCTTTTTAATTGACTGTAGCCACCCTCCTAATGCTGGTCTATGAATGATTGAAATAAATTTATAGGAAAGGAGACACTTTGCCTTATTTTACATTGGTTGTTCTCAACCTTTACTTTATCTTGGACCACCTTTAAATACCTTTTGTGACCACGGACCATGGTGACAGATGCCCTCCCCCCCACAAGACTTTCCCCCACGTCATCACTGCTGAACACCTAATTCCTCCAGGACTGTCTCAGGCCTAAAGATACTCACCCAAGGAATAGGGCTGTACAGGTAGTCCTCGACTTACAAACACAAGTGAGCCCGGAATTTCTGTTGCTAAGTAAGAAATTTGTTAAGTAAGTTTTGTCCCACGTTACAACTTTTTTTGCCACATTTGTTAAGTGAATCACTGCCATTGTTAAGTTAGTAACAAGATTGTTAAATAAAACTGGCTTCCCCACTAACTTTGCTTTTCAGAAGGTTGTAAAAGGGGGTCACATCACCCAGAATGTCATAAATATGAGTCAGTTGCCAAGCATCTGAATGTAAATCACATGACCATGGGGATGCTACAATGGTCATAAATGTGAAAAATGGTCGTAAACCACTTTTTTCAGTGCAGTTGTAACTTTGAATGGCCACTAAACAAACTGTTGAAAGTCGAGGACTACCTGGATTGTTATTATCCTTCTCATCTTCTTATATTTCCTACTATCTTCTCCTATTGGTATCTTATGATTTCTCACTTGTCATTTTTATCATATGATTAATGATTGTAACTATGATTTATGATCTATGACTTATCCCGTTGTTGTTTGGTATGTACACTGAGAGCTTCTGCACCGGAAACCCATTCCTTGTATCTCCAATAACACCTGACCAATAAAGAAATCCATTCTTAATTCATAAAATTTTTCAAGCCTTCGTGTGCCCCCTGTGAGGACATTGTGGGCCTCCAGGGGTCTGCAGACCCCAAGTTAAGACTCACTATTTTACATCCCTTCCTTCCTGGATAACTAAATAACCAACTCAGCTGGAGTTTGTAAAGTCAGTGAACAAAATCAACACTCGGTAGTCTGCAATGTGTCCAGGATCAAATTCAAGAATCCTCCTGAACAGAGCCAGTAAAATTGGGCCCAAAGGTTAATACAAATGGTACAAAGGAGTCCAAACCACAAGGCAGACAATGTTACATCGTGCGGACTCAACAGTCCAAATCCGCCAATGACACTTTTGCCCCTGGATGGTCCGGCAGGACCTAAACCGTCCCGAAGAGACGGTGACTGGGAAGACAAGACCTTGCTGGTCATAGGGACATCACAAAGTCCCTGATCAACCCAAAGGAAGCACTTCCAACCGGCGGCAAACAGGCAGCCCCCAGGCTGACATAGTTGGAGATGGCTCCAGAAAGAAAGAGGAGTGAAAGTGTTCCGTCTGGTGAAGTTTTTTTCTTTTCTTTTAGAAGATTGCCCTAAGACACTCTTGTCTTAAGCTAAATTAGTCTTTTATATCACAACAAAGCAATGTATTTAATCCCTATCGGACTGCCTGTATGTATGTATGTATGTATGTATGTATGTATGTATGTATGTATGTATGTATGTATGTATGTTTTTTTATTTGTGCTGATAAATAAATAAATAAATAAATAAATAA